AATAATAATAATAAATGATGATGATGATGATGATGATGATGATGAATCATTAGCCTGTTTTCTTCATTAGATCAATTGATCGTTATCATCGTTGTCATGCGACATGTTGTGTTTCGTTTGCGGATGAATAGTTGGATGAATGAATTGATGATATGTGTTGCTTACACATTCTTTTTTTCTTTTTTTCGTTCTCCATCTGCTATTCTAACATATTCTTAATGTTATTCTCCAAATGACACTGTGACATTTACTGTACTTCCTGGTACCATTTCAATAATTATTTATAGTGTATTATCACATATCACTATCATTATTATAATTATTGATATCTTCGGTATCATATAGCACTATTACTGTGATTATTTGCTTTCTATATTTTCTACTATCGGTATTATATTATTATTACTAAAATTATTTACATTATGGTACTCTACATCATATATCATTATTATGATTGTTTACGTGAGTACCATCCAACATTACTATTCACTACCACTACTGTGATTATGTAAATTAGGGATATAATTGGTATAATTATTCATACATTACAAATATTATTTTCACATTTTGATATTACTATAGCAATAATTATTCACATTGATGTGCTTTTGCTAGTAGACGTATATATTTACAGTACGGTACAATTTACTGTTGAATGGACTTTGAATGGATGAAATTTCTATTTATACAACATGGTTAACAGGATCAAATTTCCTAACTGGGCTAGTATGGGACAGAAGATAATAAAAGTGTTTCATTGCTATTAATAAGAGTATAGCCTAGCCCTACTTTCTATTGAAAGCAAATATTTTAAATTAAGCTTTCAAATTTGAAATCAATGAACAATAATAGCAATCTTATTATATAACCGAATTATTTCATCTTATTTATTGCTTATCAGGCAAAAATCGATTGACTATACATTTCTGAAAATCTCCTTAATTAAATTACTGCATGTCAAATAAAAGCCTTATTTCAAATATAAAATTTAATGAACAAATAACACACGAAATATATAAAGAGTTATTTTGGTGCTAAAAATAAAATAGGTCATTGAATGTCAATTATCTTTTTCACGCGCAATCCTTCAATCAAATATTGGGGCACGCTCCTCTCCTCCTATACGTGCGTAATTTTACGACAGTCATTGAGATGAAAAGAAAGAAAAAACTGAAATGCAATACTTATGTGAACGGTCAAGAACATTAGGACGAGCTGATGATTTATTGTTTTGTATTCCGATACTATCTCCACATTTGAGTATTATGTGAATTAAGTCATTTTCAAAATAATGTATCAAAATCATATGGAAACTTTCATCCAATTTAATGTCATCTCTTGGTGACAATAAATAAATAAAATTTCCGATTATAAAATTTTACGAATTTTCTAGAAGAACAATGAATAATATGTATAGGTGTGCTGCATTGTTAATCGGCATAAAATGAAGTGTGAAATGTTCTTAGCGTTTGAGTGATCGATAAATGATTGGTAATTATAGGATTAACCTTTATGACAAATAATCTGAAGCTGTAGAATTGGCTTTTGTAAGCATGAGTTAGCAATAATCTAATTAACCTTTTTGATAAATGATTAGTAGTGATAGAATGATCTTTGCAAAAATTAAAAATATAGTGTGTTAGTAAAAACTACGAAAATGCTATTAGTTATCACATCATTATTTGTTTAAAGTTAAATGGTTACATAAAATCCATTAGTTTAAATCAAAATTGAAAAATGCTGCAAGAATGTTAATATTATTTGTTCTGTAGCATATATAAGTAGCATCTTAATAATTCATGCCATTCCATCAATCAAATTATCTGTCCATTTGATTTATAAATAAGCCTTCTTTCGTCACAATTCACTGCTCCACCTCTCTACACTGTATAGGTTTCAAATTTTTGTTAAAATTCTTAAAATTCACTTCAATTATTCAAAGTGGAAATATTGTCGTAGAAATAACAAATAAAAACGGATGTTTTGCATCATTTCCTAATTGGGCTACTTTTTTTTTCTCTTTTTTTTCATAAAATAATTTACATTATTATCTTACAGTTTTCATAATTTCTCCGATACCTCATTGTTCCATTATGGTATTTACGATAGTGTCAGATTACTAAGATCATCACTGTAGTTAAAATAGCCATAATAGTTCGAAATGTTTTTCATTTATCAATATAAATCCATATTCCTTCTTTTCATGCTAGTATTTTTGATACTTTCTAGTCGAATGTCATATAGAACTTGCGCAATCTAGTTTACATACATACAAGTATAACTCATATAGATTAATTTTAATAATCTATTTCTCATTAAATGATAATTATATTCTTTTTCGAGACAACAAACCATCCCCTTTATCCGTTTATTTTATTACAGTACAGAAACAACAAATAGTGATAAAGGAATCTCGCAAAATATATTATATATATATGTATGTATGTATATACATGTATAGTTTTATAACATTAAAGTGCTTACGCATTTTTTTATAGAGGACATTAGCATCATCGATATATTTGAGACATCAGTTTTAAAACGCAAAAGTAAACAAACCCCGCAGACTGCATATTCTCCAAGTTCATCCAAGGTTTTTCATATGTCGTCGAGACGTATTTTAAAAAAAAAAGGTTTAAATGAACATAAAATGACTATAAAAGTCACCGTTACATTCCTTCCAACAAACACATAATAAGAGAATTTAATTATGTTACGTAGGAGAAATAAATTATCTTTAAACAATGCATTTAGTCAAATCAAACTTAGATAGAGCAGCTAGCTCTGTTGAAACTTTGACACTTCTCAATTCTTGCTAATGGAAGTAAAGTTATTTGGTTTAATCATGACTTATTTTCTCTATATAATATGATTTGGAAAAACATTATTGGACCAAAATTACTTCAAGCAAATTTTCAAATGACGTTTTATTTGGATAGCATATTTTTACAAACACCATTTTCAAAACTTAACATGCAGTTCGTATAGAGACTTGCCACTAATCCATAATCATATATTCGAGATGTTCGAATCAAAGCGGTTACTGGAAATATATTTCGCTTTAATAATGCACCTTTTGAGATCATCGACAAATAATTACCCATGTCAGAAAGTAATGCTAATATTGTTGAAAGTGATTCTTCATGTTGTATATCACTCTCATGAAACTCCACCTGTAAAATAGATTTTGGAGGGAACGCGTAATAAGACGTAATAAGAAAGAAATTTGAAACATATAAGTTAGACATTTAATTTTAATTCCAATTTTATTGAATTAAAATTTTGTAAACATAAAATTTGTGAAACTAATTCATAAATTAATTGCTTAATTTGGTCTTTCCAAATATGCATTCAAAATTAACAAATAATGCAACCTGTTTATCATGAAATTAAAATACCGATAATCTAAGGAGAACTTACAATGACAGCAACTTCTCCAAGGGCAAATGTATGAGCGGAAGCGCAGAATGCCGTAACACCGCCAATAAGTTTCCCTTTGAAATAACGCAAAATTATACGCGAAAGTTGCCACGGTTCTAATAGTGATTCTTTCGGAAGTGACGTGGGTGATTGATTTCGAAGCCAGTAAAGCTGAAATTATTACATTATATATAGTTTTTCTAGCGTATACAATTTTCTCATGGTTTTATATGATTTTCTCCTCACTTCTTATCCACAGATATACCTGTCAGATTTACCATAGAAAATACATGAAATAAGCAAAAAAATCAAGTGAAGATAAATGTATAACCTTTGTATGGTCATTAATGATATTAACTGCACAAATTCGATATAGTAAGTGAAAAGTATCATTATCTGTTATTGCTTCCTCACATAAAATCAGCAACAAATTCACATTAGGTTCCGGATCTACTTCAATACCTCCAATTAACATTTGACGAAATGCTGCAATGAATAAAGCAATAATTCTAATCTTATCCTTTTCCTTTGATCAATCATCAATTATGAATGATAAAATAAAATTACATTACAAACTAAAGCTTGCATAGAATGAAACTAAGAGAAAATGAAAGAAGGTGAAGATTGAAATAAAACTGATGAAGTCAACGTGTAGCAAATAAAATAATTAAATGAGTGGATGAAAGTTAAAGTAATTTTGGGTTGAGACGGCCGCTTTCATAGCGTCACTATGGTATGTTTGTTAAATATTTACCAACCTTAGCGATCTTAGGTTTGTTGCGGCAGGAAGTGGATGGCGGAGAAGAACCTTACAAGTCCTTATAAGTGCTCAGGCTTATTCTATTGATTAGGCTAGTCTGTGTTTTATTTTTTGTAGTATTTATATCCCAAACCAAAAAAAAACTTCCAAATAAGCTACAAATGGAACACTACTTGCTGCAGTAGCCAAAAATGCAATATTTCCGTGCAGTGCGTAGAAATTTAGCTTTGCGTTCTTTTCGAATACTTTCGAGGTTGTTGAGACTGCAGGAAAAAAAAGTTCAGGGTGATTTTGTATAGGAGTTTGACTGTCTCGTAAGAACGATCGAGTCTGATATGAACCATTTTGAGTTTTCTGTTTTCAAGATTTTCTTTAGATTAATTAGGACTGGATTAATTTTGAATCTGTTTTAAATCAATTCTTTTGATTCCATACATTCATAATGTTTGCTTTTCGGTTAGCGCTGAACGAAATGAAGAACGAAATGAGGTTAAAGCATACAATTGTACTCAAATAAATGGTTCATTTTCAGACATAAATTATAAAAAAAAAATCATTTGAAAAGTAGTGACATAATTAATTAGCGTCAATCATGGGTCGAATGCACAATCCTGGCAAAGGTATTTCTCAGTCGGCGTTGCCTTATCGTCGATCGGTGCCAACTTGGCTGAAGCTTACAAGTGAGGAAGTTCAGGAGCAAATCACTCGTCTTGCCAAAAAGGTGATAGCATACTCATTTAGCATTGGTAGCATTTTTGGTAGCATACTTCTTTGGTAGCATACTCATTTAGCTTCATATTTTCTTGTTCATTCCCTTATTTAGTGTGTATGAAGGTTGAGGAGGAAAAATCATATACCCTTCATAGATTTTTTTCGATCTTAATAAAGATTTCGTCAAAAATGCGATTCGAGTAAGTTGATTGTGATGAAGATAAAGAAAAATATAAGAATAGATGTATGTAATTCGAAGAGACCTAATACTTCTTTCCAATCTCATTCCCTCAATATTATTAAAAGTAGGGATTAGAAGTAGGAATTTTGGAATAAGTCATAGTTGAAGATGCTTTAGTAATTCTTCCTTTGTAAGTTCCGTACAGATCATTTTGTATAAGTATAGAAGCTGCTATTTCATATTTTCCGGAAGAATTACAGTGTTACTGAATGATGTTGTTTTACCTTACAGGGTTTGCGTCCCTCACAGATTGGCGTAATACTACGTGATTCACATGGTGTTGCCCAAGTTCGACGTGTTACCGGTAACAAGATTGTACGCATACTCAAAGCTAAAGTAAGGGAATTAATTTCTTCGTTTTTAATAAATTTAGATATATTAACGGTTTATTGAACGTTCTATTAAAATGATCTCTTTAATGATGTCATTAGCCGTACCATTCCTTAATCATTTATTCATTTCTTTTGGTTATCTGATATTTTTAGGGTATGGCTCCTGAGATCCCTGAAGATTTGTACCATCTAATTAAAAAAGCAGTTAATATTCGCAAGCATTTAGAGCGGAATCGCAAGGTTCGTTAAATCATTTTTTTATAGATTTGTAGTAAATGAATTCTTTCAATCTGCAGTTTACACTAATATTAACATTTAAAACAACGTTTTCAAAGAGCTAATAAAATATCATTTTACTAAGGACTCGTCTTTGATAAGAAGGAAAGCAGGTATTGCAGATTTCGAGTTTTTTTTTGAGTAGTTAGTAGCTATAACCATTGTCAATATTTGCAGGATAAGGATTCAAAATATAGACTGATTCTCGTCGAATCACGTATCCATCGCTTGGCTCGGTATTATAAAATGAAGCGCCAATTGCCAGCAACATGGAAATATGAGTCATCGACGGCGTCAGCGCTTGTGTCATAAATTTATTTTATTGTTACCAGTTTGCTTTGTTTTTTTGAGGAAAAATTTATGAAATAAATTAATATTTGTTTATTGTTTGTGCACAAACCGATTTTTTGGTACAAAAAATAATAAATCCGTTATTGGGATGTTCCGCTGATCGTTTCAATAACTACTGACAAAGAGTTTGCAATCATTATTAGACATGGCTAAATATTACATGTAACAATGGGATATGCATCTAATAGTCTACTTGTACTGCTGACAGCTTCCAAATGATTTAAATTCTTGGACACTGCTTCTTGAAAAATCTGAAGATTTTAAGAACAGCAGAATGTTTTCGGATGCATTCTTCTATTCTAATATTATTCAAAGTATATCAGACATTCGAATGTTGCGCATTAATCCCACCGACATTTCATTAAAAAGTCTGAAATTTTTCACATCTGCGCGTTTGTTCTTCAACTGAGCGTTCAAGACAAGATTTCGCTTCCGACTGCTTGGTTGCTCAGCAACGAGAAATGCTAATACTTTGTTTTGGATAATTTCACTCTTTTATTGAACATAATTATATCCAAAGATGAAAGTAAGTTCTTTGTGTTTTTTAAAATTAAATCCAGTCATAAAATCGGCAGTAAAAAAAATGCAGGCATTAGTCGTATGTAAAAATTATATTAAAAAGTGAAATAAATAAACAGTAGGAATAACTGCTTATTCTATTAATTCAGAAATCAATCTGAGATACAGCAATTATCTTTATACATTTGTAGCTAATATGGAGTTTAACAGAGAAAGAACTTGGAGAGGATGAGTTGGTTTTTGAATGGCGTCCAAAAGGGAATTATCTTGCTGTTGCTAGGTTTGTCTATATTTACTTATTGATCAATTTACATTGACTCTTTTTTCGCAAGATAATATCTCGTTAGAACCTGTTTCAAAGCAATATTTTATCATTAAATATTGTTATAGAACAATCAATGACAATAACTAAACTAAGTAGATGATATAATTATGGAAAGACTTATATTATACTTATTATAATTTTATTTTTAAATTCAAGATTTAAATTGATTTCATATTCTCAATATGTAATTTATCGCAGGAACAACTGGTATGCTATCGTAATGATTTGAAATACAAAAATATAAATTTTTTTTAGTTCGAATAATTCGGTAAAACTGTACGATCGAAGTGGTCACTTAATCGATGAATTATTCCTACCTGGGTAATATTTCTTTTTTTTTAAGATTGCACTCTTTTTTAATTTTATTTATTAGTTTAATTTTTCTAAATGCTATTCCTCTTTATTCATATTAACTAACTCCATCATATTGATTCACTTTGCATTACGTTATAACATAAGCATCCACAAGTCTTTAATGTTTTCTTTTCCTTTTTATAATGTTATTTTTTAATATTTATTATTAATAGCAATAGATCCATCAGTATAAAGTTGTTTATGCGAGGAAGCTGTAAATCATTTAGCCTATTCTTTCTCTTTTATGATTGCTTAAAAATTTTCATTCTTTTTGCATAGGCGGGTTGAAGCATTATCATGGGATCGAGATGGTGATATGTTAGCTATAATGAATGATAAGGATACAGCAGTAACATTATGGGAATTTGCGTCGAAAACAGTGAACAAATTGGATAGTGGCATGAGCGGAAAGTAAGTATTACTGTATGGTATAATTTAAGTGCAATTTTTTTCCTGGTAATAATAGATTTCTTATAAAATTTTAATTGATATAATATTTAAATTTTGTTAGCCTAAACAAACTTCTATTTTAAGCATATTTTAAAATTTTTAAGGGAAAAACCGACATTTATGCTATGGTCTCAAATTTCGCCAATTTTGGCTATCGGTTATGATACCGGAAATTTGTTATTTTATAACCAGCGCACTTCACGGTTAGTTTTTTTCTATATATCTAGATGTTAAGTAGTTCTGTTATTTATTTAATATTTTTCATTATCCTTCGAATTTGTTTATAAATTACACATACATGAAACAAATTATCAAGTGCTGTTAGAAAATATCGGATTAAAATTTCTTCGAAAAATGTGCTACTATAAGCTGTCACGAAAGTCGCGAAATTTCAAGAATATTATAGCTGGTCAAAGTTTCAAGAATATTATAGCTGTATATATATATATACACATATATTCATAGACGTAATATTACTCTGTCCTAATACATATTCATAGCGTCAATGATAATGTGCCCGTTTAAACCAATAGCACGATTCATCGTGTACTGCACGCCTCCAACTATTGTACTACATGATCTCCCTTGCTCTTATATCCTCCAATA